GTACCAAAATCATAGATTGTAAAAAACAAAACAAAAAAAAAACATGGACGTAGTGTCTGTGACGTCACCTGTCGGTTTCTGAAGAGCGTTTTTGAAGGCTAAAGTTGGTGTACAATTCCATACTCAACAACGACGGAATCTGACGGCGTGCACGGGCGAAGGTAAAATACGTGTATTAAACTGTATGAAATAATCCAGAAAAAAGCACAAACACAGCTGAGGGTGACGCTAACAGACAGCAGACAAACCACTAGTGGTGACATCAGCGGCAATCCAGCTGTCACTCAAGTGGCCACGCCCTTAATTATGCAGAACTTTAAGGCTTAAATATAATTTAAACGGATGAGTTCTAAGAAAAATCATCCCCTCACAGTCGTCATGAAGGGCAAAATTAGCGCCACTATTTGCCACCAGGATGTAAACATGTTTTTTTCTGCTGTGAAGTTAGACATTTTAACACGGGGGAGATACAGATTTTGCAGCCAGCCTCAAGTGGCCAGTCGATGAACTGCAGTTTAATTCACTTCCGTGTTGGTTTCAAGAGAGAGACGGGGAGGTTGCCGCTTGACCAAAATATGAATCATAAAGAGCAAAGGGAACATTTTCCAAAAAGGAAAAAACATGGAAAACAACAACAGAAAAAAGAAAACATTTCTGTGTCATACAGAGGGTCAAAGACTGTGATTTTACTGAATGCTGTAATATTGTTCCTGCTTGCCTGTATATTTCATACACACCTTGCATTCATTGTTTGGTCCTCAATCCTGCATGTGTCTTGTGACTTCATGCTCTCTTCAATTCTCTTTTAGATCAAACAAATAGTAATGTTTAAAAAATGTTTGACCAACTAATTCTGAAAAACACCTTCCAGGAACGATGTATGTATAAAGATTTTGAGATATTATTAAAGAGCAGATAACTCTGAACGAGCGTTATTGGAGTTTGTTGATAACTTCAAGAGAGAATATTCCACTGGGAATCTGCTAAATCAGACATTTGACGATTTTAAGATATTATAAACATGACAACATCATGATTTTCTGCAAAGCTGCTTTCAGACAATGTGTGAAGAAACAAAAACATTTCATCATAAACAGAGCGACTCCAAGAGGGTCCTCTCGCCATCGGGCTCGGCCCTAAAAATGGTTCTCCCAATATTTATCAGAGATCTTACAGATCATGTTCTGAGAACGTTTTCTCTCAGTGTTGTGGGAATGTTCAAGTAAAAATTGTAAGGTTGTTCCATGAATGTTGTAATCAGAACGTTTTATTATTACACTATGAAAACATTCAGCAATCAGAAATAACATTCTTCCATAACCGTTAAGTTAAGAATGTTTTGTCCTAAAATGTACTTTAACAGGGTTAGTGAAAGGTCTGGGAAGGTTCCCTGTTCAACAACTTCTCTTGTTGTCCTCCATGGGCAAAAGTGTCTGCTAAATTATTGAAATTATATAAAATGGTCAAAAAAAAACAAAATATTTCTTTAGAATCCATATCCATATGATCACTGACCCAAATTCCAGTCTTTAATCCGTGATCTTTCTTCGTCTCTCAGCAGTGACGTCTAAACCTGCACTCATTCAAAAGCTAAAGTTTCATTAAAAATGTAAAAAATATTGTCAGTGATAACAAATGCCCGTTGCCTCACTGAAAATAAGGGGGGAAATTGACCTAATTCAAGCTAACTTGATTCAACAGTCCATCTTTACTAAACTAAACCCCAGCCCAGACTAACACTAAAGTCGGCTTCATCTCTTCCGCTTGTCTTCTCGTCCTTATACTCGTCCTTATACTCGCCAGCTGAAAAAGGCCTTTGTTTATTTATTTATTTAACTCATATATAATTTCAGAGAGTTGCAGTGTGTGTTGCACGGATCGCTGCGTTCACATTGTGTGTGTGTTACCACTCTCTCTCTCTCTCTCTCTCTCTCTCATTTGAACAAAGTCCCTTTTCCAATATATCAGATTCAGACCATCAGAGAATCATTATAATCCCCAAACCCAGAGGATTGAAGCCGTTTACGGGATTTACCCGTCACATGGCACCAGGGAAAGAGACACACACATAGCGGGCGACCAAACGGGACGCCGCTTTAATCTGCACACACACAACTGGACTGACGTCTGTGGCGCTGCATTTACAGTATACGGGTTAGGATTATATATGCCAACAGAAACACACGAGCAGCGCTCTGACATGTATAACGAACACAACCTTCAGTCAAAAACACTTCGTTAAGGAAATCTGTCGATGCAATTATAGATCACTACAATACCAACGAACCCTTACGGAACAAAAATATATGGGAATACACTGCTAAATATAATGCAATATATTACATACTACATTTACATATATGGGAAACTGCTGCTTATATTTTCACACACACACACACACACACAGTATGAGTTACAGATTTCTAGTTCCCAGCATGCTTTGCTTCTGACTGTTAATGGACAGTACATGTTAAGATTAAGTGTTATTTAATGTGTTTTGCTCAATATTAATATAGGGGAAAGATCTGTTAGTGTTTAACGCTCTATTATTTGTTCATTTGAAAAGTTCTTCTGGTGTGTGTGTGTGTGAGAGTTTTGGGCTCATTGTGCTGAAGAGTCGAGCCTGAGGTTCGCTTGATGATTGGACAAGCACTATAGAGACTATAATTACTACAGTAATTTCTCTATATGTGTGTTCATGTTGTTCATGTGTGTACTGGCAGTTTATTTCGTAAGGGGTCACGGTTCGCATGAAAAATCTCTAATGTGAACGCTGTGATGGGACCCGGGAGCGCACTGGGGTACCGAACCCGAGACTGCCTGGAGGAGCTGGACTGAGTTCGGGTGACTGTGAAAGCAACACGGATTCGGCCGCACACTTGTTGGGGAAGTAAAGTATCCTGCACGTGTGTTTTAGCTGATTGTGATGTATTCAGTTACAGTAAATAAAACATTTGTAAGCGGTGATAGTGTTGATGATTTAGCGTGGATCGAGCGAGAGTGAGCCTGCAGTGTATTCGTGCATTGCGCGTGGAATCAGATCAACACATTTGGAAATCCACGGTCTCCTCAGAAGAGTCCGTTTGCAAGCAGCAGAAGTCCACCTTATGACACACACACACAGTAAACCTGTATTGTTCACTCAATTAAGCATAAAAGCAGCAAATTAAAAAAAAAAAAAACCCCGACAATATTTAGCAGGTTCTGTTTCCTATCATGCGCCGTGCATGTTTGCGATGACGTGAGATGCACAGAAAGGCACCAGGGTTCGAGAGAATCAAGTTGAGTGTGAAACATATTTCATATTTAAGTTCTTTCTCCTTTTCCCTGCGGGAGGGATGGGATAGGGACCAGTTCGGGGACGCACAGATCTGTTTGCCTCTTACGACTCGACCCATTGCGCCCTGTATTCCCGGACCGAGGGTCGCGTTCGGCACGGATGCACTGGTGCACGGCTAGGTTTCCCCCAGCAGACCCTGCGCAAGGTCAGGGAGGACGAGGAGCAGGTCATTCTGGCCCTGGTTCTCCGAGCTTGTACTCCTCGTGACAGCCCCTCCTTGGCCGACTCCCCCGAGGAAGGACCTCCTTTCTGAGTAGGGAACGGAGACGTTCTGTCAGATGACGACCAATGGGGTTCTGCTTAGAAAGCCTATCGACTTTGAGTATGCAAAAGAAGACAATGGCAAAGAAATGCGGAATTTGCCTATCTCCGGAGGGTGGCACTCGGAGGATGCCTCATTATTTGGCTCATTGGGAGCGTGTACAGGCTGAAGAGGTGTGGGCCTTGTAGTCCAGGCAAAATAGCCCATTTTGGAGCCAAAAATAGAAGTAATTGTAAAAGAATTTTTTTCAGCATAGATCATTTCTATGAGGTGTCCAGAACAACATACTAAAAGTCCTAAGAAATCCTAGTTGAGGAAATATGTTTAATTCGCATCAATCCGAGATGTGTGCCAGTAACCATACACTCCAATGGGGCTATTTTTTTCCTTTACTCCTATCAAAATAAAACTTTATACAATGAAAGTATCCATGAAAAGTAACAAATTTTGTATTACAAGTTTCTTTGAAATCGAATATGCCCAAAATACACCCAAATAGGCTTATTTTTTTCCTTACTCCTACTACAATAAAACTTTACACAATGAAAGTCTACAAGAAAAGTAAAACATTTTGTATTAGAAGTTTCTTTGACAATTAGTCTGTCGTAAAACGCTACTTTGCCTGGACTATTGAGGGACTCCACATGTCATGGATGTCCACTCAGACTCATGGCCTCTTATACTCACATAATAACCTCTCCCTCCTAACTGTGACCTGAACCCTCTTACGACCTGTTCTCAGGGTCTCTCCGGTCCGCAGCTGTGGTGCAGAGCTGCGATTAGAGCTCTCCCTTTCCTTCGCTCTGGTGTGTGAAGGACTGAATCACGATGACTAACTCAGTTTGGAGCTTCAGAAAGCTTGTAACCTTTTGAGTACGTCCTCCTAAGCCTGAGTCAGTCTATAAGAAGAAGAATCCGTCCTGAGAGTCGATAAAAGATCGTACGGTTAGTTCGGTGGACGAACAGATTATTCGCTGTGAAATTAATTCACTTAAGGGTTATCTATTCTAGCCTATCGGTATATTAATAGTTCATTATAATTTCTTATATGGTTAATTATCCATATATATGTTTGATCTATTTTAGCCTATCTGTATATTACAGTATTTTTGGACTGCTGAAGGACAGCGACACAACTGCAGCTCCGTGTGCGAACTCTAATGGCTGGAGGGGTTCAGTACGGGTCGGGTCGGGTCGGGTCGGGTCGGGTACACCATGATCAGGCTTGCGTTTCTAAAGTTACTGGAGTGTAAGCAGTGGATCATCTGAAGTGATGTGCTGATCATCTCCTATGAGCATTATGGGTAGTGTATGTACAGTTGTTTGGAGGTCGGTTCCTAGGTGTGTGTGTGTGTGTGTGCGTGTGCGTGTGTGTGTGTGTGAGAGAGAGAGACTCACATGGAGCAGTGTGGCGGTGCAGGTTGGTCCTGATGTTCTCCTGCAGTTGATGATCTGCTGAAAGCTTCTGAAACCGCTGACTCAAGAAATAACTCAAGCCTTTCTTCAGCCTGCCTCCTAAACACACACACACACACACACACAGATCAATGCTCAAATGATTTCAGAGGACAGCAACATTGCAAACAAGCAACATGCAAAACATTATCTATATTGCAGAATTTGTTATAAACTTATTTGGGGATTTTTTTAATGTGTGTGTTGCTTCGCACTGCCCTCTGTTCACCACTGCTCGGCCTGTGGTGTGTTGCCATGGTAACGATGGCAGGAAGGAGTTCTGTTGTATCTGCTGCCCTCTAGTGGACTGCACTAGTATGAGCTTCAGTCTACAGGGCCTGCTCTGATCGGCTCGCACTGGAGAAGCTGCGCAGTTTCACACAGCCTTCATTATAATCCACAGAAGGAAAAAACATTAGCCTGTAACTCGCACTGTCCCTGAAATTATTGTTTTGGTAAATTAAGCTGGTCTTTAGGCTAATGCACGAATGAACTGGTTGATTATCCACAGCAGGAGGGTAGAGAAATGAATCAGGATGTATCAGTATCATTATAAATAACATCACCTAAAGTTACAGACTGTTATGTGTTTTTCTTTTATTGATACTGTGAAGCTGCTTTGATGCAATCTATATTGTGAAAAGTGCTATATAAATATATACATATACTTGATGTGATACTTGTGTAACTCATAACAAGTAACTGGAGTTACGTAATCAGATTACTTGTTCATGTAACTAACGCATTACTTTCAAAATATCTGAGTTACTTTTTCAAATAAGTAATGCAAGTTACTTTGTTTTCCCATTTATTGACTGACAGCTCTCTACATGCTGAGACAAATCGAAGTGTGTGTGTGTGTGTGAGAGAGAGAGAGAGAGAGAGAAAGAGAGAGAGTACGGAATACTGCAGCAATATTTAACATTATATAACCTCGCCAATTATTTTCCAACAGATACACACTTTATTGCTCAGTCGAGGCACGAGGGTGCAGCTCATTGTGTGTGTGTGTGTGTGTGTGTGTCAGATATGAAGCGTTTGTCCCGCATGAAAACAAGAGCTTTTGAGGAGCAACAATAGTGATTGTATTAGCAGCGGGTAAAGAAGAGTAATCTGAAAACATCAACACTGCAGATGATGTCAGAGATCCCGCGCTTCCAGTGCGCTTTTAAAAAATGTCAAGACAACACATTAAAGGGATAGTGAAACTAAACGCATCTATTTTCACTGGTTAGCATTTGAACTTTCACCTTTGTAATAGCCTGTAATATAATATAACATAAAAAATATGATAAAATGACATAAAATAAAGTATAATGTTGTGGACAAATAAGTAACCAGCTAAATGGGGCCCCATGAAGGAATATGAGGTTAGGCCCCCTACCGCACCTGCTTTGACAGTTCTGATCCGGATGGGGTCGCCGCAGTGGGTCAGGAGGTGCAGCACGTCGCAGAGCGGCCGCCCGGACACCGGCAGATCCTCCACCTCCAGCAGAACGTCCTCGTAAGTGTGCGAGGCGAGCGGGCGGATCCAGGTGAAGCGACCCGTGTCCGACCCTCCGCTCAGCTCCACCGGCAGCCGGCCCGCAGAGTCCCTCCACAGCGCTCGCTCCCGCACACGCGTGCTCCAGTGCTCCTCCATCACACACACACACACACACAGCTCAACCGTGGATCCTCCTGGACTGTGTGTGTGTGTGTGTGTGACTGGCGGAGCTGCTCCAGTTCGGAACGGTCATAAAGTTATGAGTCATTAAGGTCAAGAGTTCAGTTTCATGTTATCATCTGTCACGCCTATTTCACAGACATTCTTCACTTTGACAATAATGCCAAACTGCACATCCCAGCTAACAGAAGTCCAGCGGGCCAGTGGCGGGAAACCGCTCGCTCCACGGGTCATATTATGATTTATTTCACAACTGGATAGTTATAATTAGACTCATTACAATACTAATCTTTTATGCATTTATGAATCAAAAACAAAGTACACAACTGGTAATAAAATGGTTACACTTGTACTTTGGCAGATATCAAGTGGCCATTCCACATTTTAGAACCCGCCACACTACAGGCCCTGTCCCCCATGGAGCGAAGTGGAGATGAAGGAACTGCTAAGAGACATGCATCACTAGAGCGAAGCGTGCGGGATTGTAAATATGAGGTGAGGAGATCTGATAGGTTGATTGGGGCCAGATTATGTAGGCATTTATAAACAAGGAGAAGGACTTTATAATGGATGCGGTAGTGGACAGGAAGCCAATGTAACTGCTGAAGGATCGGAGTAATATGGTCCCATGGCCTTGTGCGGGTAAGCAGCCATGCAGCAGAATTTGACATACTGCAGCCTATTTAGGATTTTTTCCGAGAAATAGAGCATTGCAGTAGTCAAGCCTTGATGTGATAAATGCATGTATAAGTGTTTCAGCTGCAAACTGAAACAAACTGAAATAGCCTACAGGCTATATATCAACAATAAATTAAGGTTTATGTATATGTATATATATATATATATATATATATATATATATATATATATATATTAGGGCTGTGCAAAAGTTGATTGCGATTAATCCCATCCAAAATAAAAGTCTGTGTTTACATAATATATTTGTGTGTGCTGTATATAATTATTTTGTATATATAAATACACACACATGCATGTATATATTTAAGAAAATGTGTTATTCATATATAAAATATTTATATTTATATAATATAGATTATGTATTTATAAATGTATACAGAATTTAAGCGCAAATAATTCTTAAATATATACATGCATGCATAGGTATTTATATATACAAAATAATTATATACAGCGCACACAAATATATTATGTAAACACAGACTTTTATTTTGGATGCGATTAATCGCAATTAACTTTTGCACAGCCCTAATATATATATATATATATATATATATTGTGTATATAATGAGGTGATGGACTGAGTCTCCAGAGGAAGAAATAACATGAATCTGATGAGAATGAGCTCTGAGCACACAACAGAATAAGTGGACTTTCACCCTGTTCCTTAACAGATCGACATGCTTCTTATCACTAAACAACCACAATAAAGAACTGCAGAACAACTGGCAAAAAGCATATTTATATTATATGCAAGTATGAGATGCACAGATAGAGACTGTATCTGTTCCCAGAACTAGGAAATATGTAACAACAACAACCCCATTTAAGGGTAAACAATTGGATTTAGCTTCAACTTTATTGTTGTTGTGCAGAGTACAAGTACAGAGGCAATGAAACACAATAGGCATCTAACCTGAAGTGCAAACAGTAAATGTTTATATTATTGGAGTGCAACATATGAGTTTGGCCTACAGGGAACTTTTACAAATGTAATTGATGTTTAAAATAAAAAATAAAAAAATATATATATTATACAGATGAACAAATGTTAAAGCATGGCTTGCGGAATATAGGATCTATTTAAAAATAATAACAATAGGATTCATGTATGTTCTGAAAGCAGGACCTTTATTTTGAACGCGCTGCGCAGTTGTGTAGTTGTGTGAGCGTTGCTATGCACTTGTTAATTCTGATTGCTGTTTAGCATGTTGCTATGTGGTTGACAGGGTATTGTTAGGCATTTGCTCATTGGCACTAGTGAAAACGCCCACATTCACACACAAAAATACACTCAGACAAAAAAAGTGGGTGAAAAGAAAGAAAAAACATCGTTAAAATAACAGGACTTTTATTTTGAAATGCTTCATCTTTCCTCCATGTTGTTGTTTTCAGCTTCAGTTTTCCTCGCTCTCAGCATCTATTTCGCATCTTCCTTTTGAATTCATGCTAAAGTCCGGCATTTTTCCGAAATGAGAGCTGTTCCCACATGGATAGATAAAGTACACGACCGGGATAAGGTTGAACAATGGTGAGCGTTTTACTGCTTTTCTAAACACCAACTGCAGAACTGAATGGATGCGCCTAGCAACCGTTGTTATGTAAACAATATAAGCACCTATGACCACTTTGAGAGTTATATGTGATTTCTGACTGTTTTTTTTCAGGCGATAACATCGCAGTTTTACTCATACATCATTTGGGGCATTGTTATATTTCTCTTTCGATTTAATCTGCAATGGGAATCTGAGCTCTTCACATTCGCTGATCTGATCTTAATCTCACGATCGTGTTGTTAAGTTAACTTGTTTGTCTGTCTGTCTTTCAGTATTTATGATCTCGCCTTCAGACCCGATGGATCTCAGCTCATAGTAGCGGCTGGAAATCGAGTTCTGGTAACGAATCTCTACAAACACACAGTTCTAATGATGCGACTGACTGCAGCATCTGCGCATGCGCACGGGAGAGCCAGAAACATAAATAAATAAAAGAACAAAGACCAACAGAAAAAAAGAAAAAAATACAACATTTTCTATGCTAAAAGCATCCATCACTTTTATTCTTGGAAACACGCACGCACGCACAAACAATACACACTTGTTTGTAACATCTTCAAGAATAAAATGTCTCATGATTTTTAACATTGATAATAATCAGTCACATTTCTTGAGCATCAAATCATCATATTAGAATGATTTCTAAAGAATCATGTGACACTGAAGACTGCAGTAATGATGCTGAAAATTCAGCTTTGATCACAGAAATTAATTACAGTTTACTAGCTATATACATAGAAAAGAGCTGTTTTACATTGTAATAGTATTTCATTATTTTTGGTCTATTTTTGATCAAGTAAATGTAGCTGGTGAGCATCTCGCTTTAGACATAATTAAATATCGCAATGATTCCAGACTTGAGCGGCAGTGTAACAGTGCAGGAGTGTAACAGTGTAGGAGCGTAACAGTGTAGGAGTGTAACAGTTTAGGAGCGTAACAGTGTAGGAGCGTAACCGTGTAAGAGCGTAACAGTGCAGGAGTGTAACAGTGCAGGAGTGTAACAGTGTAGGAGCGTAACCGTGTAAGAGCGTAACAGTGTAGGAGCGTAACAGTGTAGGAGTGTAACAGTGTAGGAGTGTAACAGTTTAGGAGCGTAACAGTGCAGGAGCGTAACAGTGTAGGAGCGTAACAGTGTAGGAGCGTAACAGTGTAGGAGCGTAACAGTGTAGGAGCGTAACAGTGTAGGAGCGTAACAGTGCAGGAGTGTAACAGTGTAGAAGTGTAACAGTTTAGGAGCGTAACAGTGTAGGAGCGTAACAGTGTAGGAGCGTAACAGTGTAGGAGCGTAACAGTGTAGGAGCGTAACAGTGTAGGAGCGTAACAGTGTAGGAGCGTAACAGTGTAGGAGCGTAACAGTGTAGGAGCGTAACAGCGTAGGAGCGTAACAGCGTAGGAGGGTAACAGTGTAGGAGCGTAACAGTGTAGGAGCGTAACAGTGTAGGAGCGTAACAGTGTAGGAGCGTAACAGTGTAGGAGCGTAACAGTGTAGGAGCGTAACAGTGTAGGAGGGTAACAGTGTAGGGGCGTAACAGCGTAGGAGCGTAACAGCGTAGGAGCGTAACAGCGTAGGAGCGTAACAGTGTAGGAGCGTAACAGTGTAGGAGCGTAACAGCGTAGGAGCGTAACAGCGTAGGAGCGTAACCGTGTAAGAGCGTAACAGTGTAGGAGCGTAACAGTGTAGGAGCGTAACAGCGTAGGAGCGTAACAGCGTAGGAGCGTAACAGCGTAGGAGCGTAACAGTGTAGGAGCGTAACAGCGTAGGAGCGTAACAGCGTAGGAGCGTAACAGTGTAAGAGCGTAACAGTGTAGGAGCGTAACAGTGTAGGAGCGTAACAGCGTAGGAGCGTAACAGCGTAGGAGCGTAACAGCGTAGGAGCGTAACAGTGTAGGAGCGTAACAGCGTAGGAGCGTAACAGTGTAGGAGTGTAACAGTGTAGGAGCGTAACAGTGTAAGAGCGTAACAGTGTAGGAGTGTAACAGCGTAGGAGCGTAACAGTGTAGGAGTGTAACAGTGTAGGAGTGTAACAGTGTAGGAGTGTAACAGTGTAGGAGCGTAACAGCGTAGGAGCGTAACAGCGTAGGAGCGTAACAGTGTAGGAGCGTAACAGTGTAGGAGTGTAACAGTGTAGGAGTGTAACAGTGTAGGAGCGTAACAGCGTAGGAGCGTAACAGTGTAGGAGCGTAACAGTGTAGGAGCGTAACAGTGTAGGAGCGTAACAGCGTAGGAGCGTAACAGCGTAGGAGCGTAACAGCGTAGGAGCGTAACAGCGTAGGAGCGTAACAGCGTAGGAGCGTAACAGCGTAGGAGCGTAACCGTGTAAGAGCGTAACAGTGTAGGAGCGTAACAGTGTAGGAGCGTAACAGCGTAGGAGCGTAACAGCGTAGGAGCGTAACAGCGTAGGAGCGTAACAGTGTAGGAGCGTAACAGCGTAGGAGCGTAACAGTGTAGGAGTGTAACAGTGTAGGAGCGTAACAGTGTAAGAGCGTAACAGTGTAGGAGTGTAACAGCGTAGGAGCGTAACAGTGTAGGAGCGTAACAGTGTAAGAGCGTAACAGTGTAGGAGTGTAACAGTGTAACAGTGTAGGAGTGTAACAGTGTAGGAGCGTAACAGTGTAGGAGTGTAACAGTGTAAGAGCGTAACAGTGTAGGAGTGTAACAGCGTAGGAGCGTAACAGTGTAACAGTGTAGGAGTGTAACAGTGTAGGAGCGTAACAGTGTAGGAGTGTAACAGTGTAGGAGCGTAACAGCGTAGG